ATAACAGTCGCTGTGTAAAAATAGATGAAAGAAGATAAATTTTTATATGTTTATGAATTTTAGTTAGTTAATAAAGTATTCAACAATACCTCCATCAATAGTGAGCGTCGTGAAATTATACAACGCATACGATGAACCAATATTATTGTGTGCAATAACTTTCAATTGATATTTAGTTGCCGGCTCAAGACCGTCAACCGTATACATACGTTCTGTTGGAGCTATTGGTTTATTAACATCACTTAAAATCCAGTCATCAGATTTTTGTTGTTTCCATTCGATTGTATAATATAATATATCACATCCTCCACTTCCCCATAGATCAAACCAGGCGGTTACTGTTGAGCTATTATATGTTATTGCTTCAGTTGGCGATTCAGGTGGAATAGGCACTGTAGAATTATAAATGTACGTGTTGTTATTGCTCATTTACATTTGTTATTTGTTAATTGTTATAACTATTTAAATGCAAAAAAGTTGTCTAGATCAAGTTGATACCTATAGGTAATATTCCAAAATTTTTTTTTAATATTGCATTGGACATTCATAATTTAAGTATTGGTGAGTAATTAAAGCTTTTTATTTCATTAGAAAAAAAAACTTATTAGGTTTAGTAAAAGACGTTAATTTTGATAGTAATTTAATCATATTCAATGATATAAATGTCAAAATACCCAATTTGGTTAGTCGATAGTATAATAAATACTGTTTATTTTTAATCAAAGTCTTTTTTTCAATGTAATTCTTGATCAGTCTCTGATGCATAGTCCCCATTGATTGGTTTTTCGATTTTCCTACTAAGCTTTGTTTATTTTCTCTTGTTGTAAGTCTATGGGCGCTATCTGCCTCGAATAATAAAATATTCTTACATGTCCGGATTACATCCCTGTATATTTGCTTTTTAATTGCAGTTTCTTTCCTAGTTTCTATTGTAGTCGTAGTTTAAAAAATCGTTATAATTTAGATGAATATAGTCACACTATGTAATGTTTGAAAAATTTACTGTGTCACATCCAATTTTACATCTTGTAATGATTCGGACGTCACAAAATATAAACTTATGTATCTATTTATTGTTAATATATTTGAGCTCGTTCTTTAACAGAGAATCAAACATAAACTTAATCATGTTCTTATCGATGAAAAGTATGGATTAAATCTTAGTAAACCTACTGCCCTTTCTTTACCACTGAGTATGTTTAGGTTTGAAAAGACATCATAACCATGAATTTTAAATTCTGGTGTCGCATCACTTAGTAAAAAATCTTTTATTGTTCCCCAAGGCGAGTATCTGAATCCTTACTGTTTTTACTTTTTATTAATTCTCTGACTCAATATCTGAATAAGGAGAATGTCTTCTTTTCACTAATTTCAAAAATCTACTATGTAACTGATTTCAGATTGTTTTACAGGAAAATTAAATTTATTTTTTCTTTAGACTTTCTTTTATTTTGGAAAGATTTCATTAAATCACGTATTTATAAAACTAATTTATAAATTACTCTGTACTTGTTTGTTTGACTCAAATTAAAGATCTATAGGAAGTAGGAACCCATTATAGTATATTGCATTAATTATTGTTAACACATTTACCTCGCAGTAATGAGTGTTTTAAAAGTTTTTGGATTCATTAAACGTTGGTAACAAGAAAAATAAAACTAGAGTTATACATCAGCATAGGTAACTAATAACCTTCAAGCACGATACTAATTATAGTACCGATTAAATTGTGTCTTAGTTAATAGCCCAGGCGCCCAGCTCTCTAGTTACTTTTTGACTTTTAACATATGTACTTGGTTCTATGTTTTATTATTTTATTACTTGATATCACACGATTTGTTAAGTTATTATCTTATGTAATTTTGTCAATTGCCATTTTGCGTAAAATATATGAATAAATAAATACCTGATCCTTTAGTATATGATGTTAAAATGTCACATGGTAGACCCGTTCCAATTTTGTTATAAGCAGTAATATACAATTGATATCTTGTGCCACAAAGTAATTTTTGTAATATATGAAAATGAGTCTTTGCATCAATATGGATTTCTTCCCAATCGCCATGTTCACGTTTAAAATTGATTATATAGCCTACAATTCCATTAATCAAAAAGCATTTTTAAAAATTATACTAAGCAAATAAATAATAATTAACACATTAACTTACCTAATATTGGTATGTCTGGTTCAGCTGTATCCGTCCACTTCAGTTGTAAGCTATCAGTTTCTTCTAAATATACAGTTAACTTTGGAGGTGATGGTGGTACTATAATATTTATAATATTTATACAAATGATTATATTTTTTACCAATACAAATTTAATTTATTACGTGCATTACCTCTAACATTAACTGAGTATGAAATTTCATCTTTCCCGTATGTATTCTCCACAGCACACGTATAGTTTCCTCGATCTGCATGTTGTATATCATTTATAACCAAAGACCCATCTTTGTGTATCTGATACAAAAGAGGTAATTGTAAAATCAGGACAGTTATAAAAATTTGCATACACATTACTTTATAGGTTTAAGTACATATAAAGTAATATTATTAATACATCTATATAATTTCACTATGCTTTAATAATATGAAATTGACATTACATTTTGTAATTGTGCATTAATAAATAATATTATTGTCCCTAATAAAATATATTGAGGGTACATTTTTTTAATGAAATGAGACAATACTAAAGCATGGTTTAAAAATAAAATAATTAGTCATATGAATCTACTTATCAAATCAAACATACCCTAAATGGGATAAATATGAGGATTATTTAGGTAGCTTAATATTAATATAGGTATCAAAATAATTTATGACAAAATGTGTGTTGTGTAACCTGATATCTTCCACTTGAAGTGATTGATCGTCCACCTTTTGTCCATATTGGTTGAGGATACGGTATTCCTACTCTTTTACAGCTTAATGTTACATTTTTCTTCCATCGTATAATCAAAACTTGACTGAATGATACTATCTGAGCGGAGATTTTAATCGTCGGGAGTACAGTTATCGTTCTAGTGCTCTCACCTTCCCCAACTTTAGTTAATGCTTTAACCCAAAACTGATATTTGGCACTATCAATAATTCTTGATGCTTCAAAAACCTCAATAGATGGGCTAAGTATTTTTCTTATTGGTTTAGACTTAAAAAACACATTTAAGTTATTAAAACAATTTAGAAAATTAGTAAAGTATAAGACTTACATCTTTGTGACCGCTTAAAATTGATATGTATAAAATATAACCCGTTAGTCTCCCATTTGGACGAATCGGTGGAAGCCAAGATACAACAATGGTTTTTATGGAGCTTATTACTGCTTTGATATCTGCTGGTACGGAAGGGGCTAAAAATAAACATAACACATAATGAGCTTTATGTGTAAACCGATAAGGAAAAAACAATTGTATTACTATCTTCTTCAGTTTTGCAGTAGATTGGACCACTTTGAATCCCGTCTCCTTTACTCGTAAATGCAAGTACTGATATACTATAGTTTGTGTATTTCAATAAAGCTTGAATTGTTGTGTATTGTATGCTAGTAATTTTCGTTTCAAATTCATTCTTTTCTGAAAAACAATACCACGTATATATTGTGTAATGTATAACAACTGTAAGATTGTATGAATAACCAATTTAAAATGTAATTATATAGTAGTTTGATATATACACTTACCATACCAATCTTCTGCTGGTTGATACGATACTTTGAAACCTTGTATTTTACCATTGCGCCCCGTCGGCAGAGGTAAATCCCAAGATACTTGTATACTTTGTGATGTTAAAGATCTACATGCCAGTTTTTCTGGTGGCATTGTGGGTACTGATTGAAAATTATGATAAATATAAGCAATAACATATTTTTATCATATTATGATATCTTATGTATCTAACATTTAATTGGTAATATATACTCACTTCCTTCCTCAGTCTGCACTGTAATAGGCTTTGAAAACGGTCCAGACCCTTTGCTATTAAAAGCTTTTACTACAATCGAGTACGTCGTGTACGGTATGAGACCACTAATAACAAAGTCTTCACCATATTGAGAATTTATGTTAATAGTTTTTATAATGTAACGACTGTGCGGTACCGTTGGTGTCGTAGGATCTTTTGCGTCATCCGTTGGCAGGTATCCAATGTGATAACCAATTAAAATTCCATTACAAGAGTCTGAAGGAGGTGGTTCCCACATTATTAAAAGTTCTGTTTTGCTTTTAGCTTCAGCACGAACATTTTGAGGTGCCATGCTGGGAACTAATCAATTTAATTTCAATAATAAGTAAATAAATCAGATTCATGAATATTAGTTTAATAGAATTTAAAATTATAGACATGTTTTTCCTTACCATCCCTTATATTCTTATCATTATTTCCAGTTTTGTTTTACTCAATGTATATAATATTATAACTCTATATAATATCAAAAAATCATGAGATCACTTGTTTTTAATATTAAATAACTATTAATTAAATCGACTCTTCATAAAATTTAATTTTCAAACATCTAGGAAATTTCTACATTGATTTCGTAAATTTTATTTAATATTTAAGATACACATAAAACATCAGTTTTACTTATCTTTTTCTTTTATATGGAATATAGATTAAAGGCATATAAAGCCTTATATATAAGTACAATGTACATATAAATCATACACGTAAACATCTTATTTATGCTTAAGTGTGAAGTATGAATAAACTTACATTTTCTTTCCAAATATATCTTATAAAATTAAAATACAAAGTGCTTATATCTTTTTAATTTTAATAATTTGAGTAGTATAGTATACCTTATATCTACTAATTTTTGTAAAGATTCATAATTAATGTATGTTATAAGGCATCTTTTAGTTAACGAAAATTTACTACGGACCATATTAATATTATACATTTTTGCTGTCTAAACAAGATAAAAATAATATATTTTAATCAAAAATAAGATTAGTGATAATTTTCAATAGTTAATTTCAAAACATTTTATTTTGATATTACGAGCAATTACAATACCTTATGATTAGGTATTATCATATAAATTTTAAATTATACTCTAATATGTATTGATATAATGAGAAGAAAGTCCCGTACGTGATTTATTATCACAATTATTCAATTCAAAATTTGTATTGATACAAAATTATTATCTTGGTCACTGATGTCAATACTATGGGTTGTAAGAAATATAACCATAAAAATTATTTTTAATATTATTATACCCTCTTCTTGTGTAAAAGCTTGTGCTTCGTCACTAGGCTCACTAAATCCCATGGAATTTTCTGCTATAACTCGTATATGGTAAGACGTTGCCGGTGTTAATCCCTCGATGGTGGTAACGGTTTGCGTCCCAGAAACAATTACTTTTGCTGGGTCAGTTATCCAAAATGCTATACAATAATCGTTTTCAATGTAAAAAATATTCTTAACCAAATAACGTTAAACTTACATGCAACTAATTTGTATTGGACTATATAATTTAATATAACACTATTTCCGTCGTATGGTTTATTCCATGTTATCTCCAATGACCGGCTTTGTTGATTCAAAATTCTAATATCTTTTGGACTTTCCGGCGTTTCTGTTTAAATTATTACCAGATAAAATTAAAAAACCAATGTTTATTCATTATAAATAGTATTAATATGTATCACATACCCTGCACTATCAGTTCAATCAAATTTTCATCGTGTCCATAATTATTACTCCCGGTACATTTAAAAAAACCTGTATCGTGTCTATACACAGGCGATATTCCAAGTTCTGACATTATTCCATTGTCTTTAGATTGTTCTCTTATATTGAACCTGGAAACCACCCAAAATAAATGAATCATAGTACGAATAAAATATAAAGATATTTTTTTCAAATAGTAGACATTTTTTTTATTGTTTTTTACTTCTTGAATTATGTTCTAAACGTTAAATTAAAATAATCCATTATTTTTAAAAGTTCAGAATTAATTATGCTGTATAAACAGGTAAAGATAAAATATTAAAATACTATGCATAGTTCTATATATCATTTATATTAATATAACAATATATAAATGAATTATAACACTATACAGAAAAGTTAATTATGTCAATAGAGATTACAATTAACTTAATCAATATTAGCTTATCTATAGTAAGTTGGTCATCTAAGAATAATATATCTAAGAAAAACTTGTAATAGAAATTATTTGTAAGGGTTTTGGGCATACAAGTAAAAAGATATATAGTTTGGTTTTTATTCCTTTTATTTTAGTTCCGTGTAATGAGTATTAGTTTTAGCGTATTTATTCTATAAAAGGGCAGGAAATTACATTGGTAAATTTCTTTAGAGGTTTCATTGAAAAATCTTATGTTTTTTTAAAGTATACATTTAACTATTGAATCCACATTCCTGAGTCTCCAAGGTCTCCCTGTATCTTTTTGTTCTTTATCACATTTATCTGCTTCTGAGAATTAATTGTAGATATGGATAATAAGTAATTATAATAAATTAACAAGCAAACCATTATATAACACACTATTTTAGGTTCAAATGCATGTGTCACTCAACAATTTTCTGTGAATAAAATTAGCATGTATTCAAAATGTCATCTATGTTTTAAATGTGTTATTTTATTTCTAATTGCATTTGAGTTTCATTTATTATTTTGGTTAATACTAGTGTATAACGAACGTCTAGGGTTAGGTAAGTACATGTTCTATTGACTATTATTATTCTAAGCCATGAATATAATGTACATTTTTTTCAGTAAGGACGAATAGCTAAAATAATTTAATCAATTTGGTTAAGACTTGAAAGTATAAATTAAATTAAAATCAACTTTAACACTGATGGCGAACTTATTTTTCGCCTTTAAGTTGGACATCCTGTCATGGCGCGCCTCCACCGTCAAGGCGGCGGAGACGTGCAAGAGTCAGTTTTCTTTTAGTTTTAGCGCAGTCGACGTTGCGATGCGGAGCTCTAATAATATCAGTAGATCGCCGTTCGGATTCTACTGATATTATCACCTCGATCGACGTACGATCGACGTATCATTTAATTATTTTATTTTGTTTTTCTAATTTGTTGTGAATAGACGTATTGTAAATATAAGTTTACGAGTATATGTTAATGAAAATTAATATGTTAATGACAACTTTTTTTTTTCTTTCGGTTTGTCTTTTCCTTATTATATATTTATACCTAACAAATCAGAAGTGGGATACGCCGTTTCTCGTGTTGCGTTCTGCCGTATGTGAACGGAAATCGAAAATACGGTGCTCGTACCATCGTACACCCGTTTGTCCGAAATCGAAAATTCGGAAACCACGTGACTTTTTCCCAGTGCGCTGAGGAAAACCGTTAACGACGCCGTTCGTGCGAGTGCGTTCGCGTACCGACGCCGCCGTATCGCCGCCGTCCGTGCGAGTGCGTTCGTGTACCGATACTGTTATTACCGCCACTGTCTGCGAGAGTGCGCGACGTCTGAGGAACAGCTGACTAGTTCTGTGATTATCGTGGTGAAGGTATCATAGTCATGCCGAACGGGGGTACAGATAATACCTCCAACGCTAACCAACGTTAATGCTGGCGCGAACGCTTCGAACCAGTTGGTAGCCGCGCCGACATATGTAGTACTCGTAAAAGAAGTCGAAGAGCTCCGTGAGAAGCTAAAAGCGCTTGAGGCCCAGTCGCCTGACGGAAATCCTTCTGAGGTTGGGAATTTGAGTACGCGATCCACGACTCAAGTTAACGATACGAACAATTACCGAATATTACCGGACATTGGTAACATCGTGCCGAAGTTTAACGGTCGTGAGTCCGGTAATGTCGCCGAAGATTGGATAGCGAGTGTTGACGGGTTGGCTGGTGTGAATGACTGGCCTTTTCGCTACCGGCTCCAATATGTGCGAAATCGCGTAGAAGGCGCTGCCCGAAGCTGGTTCCTGTACGAGAATTTTGGGGATTGGGACGAGTTCGTTGCCAAGTTTCGCGTGGCGTTTGTTCGAGTGCTGCGAAGGTCAGACCAATGGCAAATGTTGGAGAATCGAACACAAAACGTCGACGAGCCCGTAGTCGATTACTTTTACGATAAAGCGGGAATGTGTCGCTCCCTCGAGTTGACGTTCTCGGAGGTGAGAGACTACGTGCTGGAAGGACTCCGATCTCAAGATGAGGCTTATTGGACCTCCAGTCGGTACTATAAAAACCTGACCGAGTTACTGTCCGACCTACACGATTGGGAACGGTTACACGATAAAAGAAGAGCGATATTCACGACGAATAAAAACCCGACCACCAGCTACCCTAGGAAAACAACAACCTCGACGTCAATGGTTAAGTTTAGTACAGACGCTAGGCCGATGACCGCGAAGGGTACAACTCTGACTTCAACAAAAGACGACGMCGGGAAGCAGACAAGAAAATTTGAACATAAGGCGCCGCAATGTTACAACTGCCAAACAGAAGGTCACATTGCCCGGGATTGTCTGAAGCCGAGACGACCGTGTTCGAACTGCGGATCGACACGACACACGCGCAGCCATTGCACAGCAACCGAAGAAGCTGCTGAAACGACGACAGGAAGATCGGACGCCTGTCTAGCCGAATCCACCACCACAAGTCAAAATCCGTTTTTAAAAACGGTACAGCTGAACGGGAAATCGGTCGACGGGTTAATCGACAAAGGTGCGTCAGACGTGCTGGTATACGAGCGTCGATCGCGCGTGCATGTGATCTAACTATACCGTGGGAAATACATTGCAACCAGGCGCAAAAACAACGGGTGAAGGTACGTCCGACATCGTTATCGACGGGGTAACCGGTGCAGATCACCCGATTCTGATCGTACCCGACCAATCGATCCCAGTCGACGTTATTATTGGTAGGTCCTGGCTGGACTTGACCCACGTCGTGTATTATAAATATGGATCAGAACTTGTCTTCAATTCACTCGGACCGGTCGATYCGGATGTACTATTTACCGAAACGCATGATAAAGACACTCAAGTGTACGCTGTCGAAATCTAACGACCAGATTTAATCGAAAAAGAGCCTATCACCTTAGACGAGGTCAAGGTGSGGCCGGAGATTGGCGTATACGATCGTCAACGGCTGATAGACCTGATCAATATATAAAGAGACGTGTTCGCGAAGAATGTCTTTGAACTTGGCTGTGCAAAGGAGGTACAGATGGATATCATTGAAAAACCGGGAAGTGAACCGATTACTTCGAAACCATACCGCACATCGCCGACAGACCGGAAACGGATAGCTCAGATACTACAGGAGTGGAGGTCGGCCGGGATTGTTTCAGAATCAACGTCCCCTTATGCCAGCCCAGTACTGTTGGTGAACAAAACGTCCGGTGATAAAAGATTGTGTGTTGACTATCGAAAGCTCAACCAACAAACTATCGGCCAAGCTTTTCCGATGTCGGACATCGACGGACAGCTGAACACCCTAGCCGACGGCGTTATTTTTTCTACAATGAACCTGTCAAATGGCTTTCTCCAAATACCTCTTAGTCCGAGAGCGAAGGAGAAAACGGCCTTCGTGACCGAGGACGCCGTAGCAAAATTTGAACGTATGCCCTTCGAACTGAAAKGGGCGCCGGCAACGTTTCAGCGAGTAATGAAMAATATTTTTGAAAAATTAAAAAACAACGGCTTAATTAACGTATATATGGACGACATAATAATGCCATCCAGAGACATCGATCACATGCTAGACGGACTTGAGCAGGTGTTTCAGGTGCTGCGTAAGGCCGGGTTAACGCTGAAACCKAACAACTGTACTTTCGGGTACAATCGATTGGAGTACCTGGGGTTTCAGATAACGAAAGGGATGATCCGACCCGGTAAGAAGATAGAGGTCATCTCTACATTTCCACGACCGAAAAACGAACATGAAGTCCGACGCTTCCTCGGGCTTGCTGGGTATTTTCGACGCTTTATCGTTAACTATGCCGAGATAGCGACACCGCTGACAACAGTACAACACTCACCGGTAAGGATACGGCATTCTCGTGGGGAGACGTACAACAAGAATCGTTCGACGAACACAAACGATTACTGTGTAGCGAACCGGTGGTTCAGCGGAACAGCTCCGATTACACAGGTACACACCGACGCTAGCAGTGTGGCGCTGTCAGGTGTTTTGCTACAAGGGCCGACACCAAAGAGCTGCACATGGTATATGCAACGAGCAAAACGACCACGGAAGCCGAATCGCGTTATCACTCCAGCCGTCTTGAATTGTATGCGATCATATGAACACTCGACCGCCTGAGACTGTTTTTATTGGGCATCCGGTTTACTATCATCACCGATTGTCAATCRCTCGTCTACCTCAATGTACATAAAGCTACGAAGCCACAGATAGCTAGGTGGTTCGAAACGCTACAAGAGTTCGATTTCGAGATCAAATACAGGCCTGGGGCCCGTATGGCGCACGTAGATGCGTTAAGCAGAGTACATAACGACAGACAAGACGAAATCAGTTCGGTGGAGACCGATCTATCAAAGAGATTTAATGTTTTCGTCGTGTTGTTTCCGGTAGACCGGGTCAGATTCATGCAACAATCAGACGAAAAGACAAAGGAGCTCATCAGTTTACTTCAGATCGAATCGAAGTTAACCGCCGCAGAAGAGAAATTGGTGCGCGATTATCAACTCACAAACGGAGTATTGTACCGGCTCTACGACGGAAAGGTGCTTCTGGTAATACCAAAGTCTATGAGGAAAGGCGTGGTCATAGGCSCACATGACTACGGTGGACATCAGGCTKTAGAACGTACGGTCGCGATTATTACTAAGGACTACTGGTTCGCCGAGCTAAGACGTTATATGCGACAACATAAACGTATATGTGTCTCGACTGTTTAACACACAAGCGCCCCGCTGGTAAGAAGCCTGGTCTGCTCCACCCGATTCCAACCGGTCGGAGACCGTTTTAAATAATACATATTGACCATTTAGGCACATTCAAAACAAGTGCCAAGTCCAATAAATATTTATTAGTAGTTGCCGACTATCTAACGAAATATATTCACCTATACGCATGCCGAACGACGGATGCCGCCGCAGTGATACGTAATCTAACTACGTTCTGTAACGAACGGGGGAWACCCGAGCGCATCATAAGCGACYACGGTTCGTGTTTCACCTCCAACGCATTCCAAGAATTCTGTCGTGTCCGTGGAATAAAACACACTCTAAATTCAACCAGACACCCGCAGGCCAACGGTCAGGTCGAGCGGGTAAATCGAACAATAACACCGATACTGAGCATGTCCACACTAGACCAGCGTAGTTGGGATACAAAAATCGGCGAGGTMGAGCGACATCTGAACTCCGCACCGAATAAGACGACAACAAAAACACCATTCGAGGCGTTACATGGTTATCAACCACGATTTCACGGAGGTGCTCTATCCAACCTTAGTCTAACCAGGAATGAGTGGACAAAACCGGACAAGATGCAACAGCTAATACGACAAAATATCGCGGCTGGACAACAACAAATGAAAAATTACTATGATCCAAGACACACCGACAACATCAAATTTGATATTGGCGAAGTTGTGGTGATGTTACGTCAGCCGATACCCGACCAACCTTCGAAACTTCAAGGAAAGTATCGCGAACGACCGCTTCAAGTAATTTAAGTTTTACCGTCTGACACATATCGAGTCGCCGAGATTTCCAGCGACGGAAGAGAACTGTATGCGACTACCGCGCATGTATCACAGCTCAAATCCTGGAAAATCTTCAACGAATCAGACGACGAAGAAGACGAGCTGGGTGACGAGGAGGCAGATSAACAAGACCAAACGTTTATAGAGAAACCACCTCCTCAAGGTAAAACCATCGAAGGGGGGTCGCGTCCAACTCGTCAAAAACGCATACCGAAACGTTTTGACGACTTTGAACTTACATAAATAACGTGTATTGTCACTATGATGTTATTAATTTGTATTTGGTTGAAATTGATTTCTATTTTGTTTTACTTTAATATTTAAAATTTTGAAATTTTGTAGCCATGTTGTTAACTATAAAAGACTGTTACTATTATGCTATTTACGTTGGTTGAAATTGATTTCTATTTTGTTTTATTTTAATATTTAGTTTGTGCAGTCAAAATGTTGATTAAAAAAAAATATATATATTATTTGTATTTGAACCTTGTTAAAACTGATGTATTATTTTTTTAGCAAGTTATTTTTTTGATTTGATTTTGTAATCACACTGTTAATCGCGCAAAATCGAAATATTGTAATTATTATTATATTCATTTATTTTTATTTTTATTTTTTGTTTGTTTATATTCTAACCGACTCGGATCGAGCGCAATCCTAGGGTAGRATGGCCGAATGATAGCGAACTTATTTTTCRCCTTTAAGTTGGACATCCTGTCATGGCGYGCCTCCACCGTCAAGGCGGCGGAGACGTGCAATAGTCAGTTTTCTTTTAGTTTTAGCGCGGTCGACGTTGCGACGCGGAGCTCTAATAATATCAGTAGATCGCCGTTCGGATTCTACTGATATTATCACCTCGATCGACGTACAGTCGACGTATCATTTAATTATTTTATTTTGTTTTTSTAATTTGTTGTGAATAGACGTATTGTAAATATAAGTTTACGAGTATATGTTAATGACAACTTTTTTTTTCTTTCGGTTTGTCTTTTCCTTATTATATATTTATACCTAACAACACGTGCAATTAATAACAAATTCTTATTTCATTACCTTCGATCTACATCCTTCAAAATTGGCATATTATTTGATCCCTTCCAAGATATTTGTAATGGTTTATCTCCTACAGCAATACACTGTATATGAGCATCATCATTAAGTTTAACCTGAATTTGCCTAGTTTTTTGGATAAACTTCACTGGAGCTATGTATAAAAAAAAAACGAAATAAACAACAGGCATTTGTGAAATATCACTATAACAAAACTATGTACCAAATCGTATCATATAAATTATGAAAGCAAAAAATATGATTTTACCATTTATTTTTAATTGTATGACTTTGCTTAATCCAGGACTAATATCGTTTTTTGCCTCACACATATACTTCCCTTCATTAGCCTTACTAGTATGCAAAAACTCCAAAGTTCCGTTTCTAAAGAAATTCACATTGGGTTCATATAAAAAGTCCTTATATTCACCTATTGAATCGCCTAAAAAATAAAAAATAAAAATTATTTTATTCGGTTACAGCGTTAAACGTACGAAGCTATTTTATTATTTCATGAAATATATTTTGTTTGATATTATTATCATATAGTTTTATTTTCAGCTGATATTTGCCAACAGAGCTTGTTCCATATGAATCACCATTTGTTTTACATACTCCCGCTTTCAGTAATCTTAGTGTATGATTTAATAGACTCAATTTTGGTACACATATCACTATAGATAATATTTTAATTTGCTAAAAACTGTATTTATTTCCATGTAGTTAAAAAAAATATTCTGATATCTTATTTTATCTACATTCTATAATTAATTTATGTGATKCATTGTAAAATTGAATACCTACTCGTATTGGCGTAGTATGTGTAGATACAAGTATATGTAAGGTAAAATACCGAAAAATATATATTATTTTTTTTTTTTTTGGTAGATTACGTAGATTGGGTAAATTTATTTAATAATTATATTATACTGTATAGCGGATAAATKTCCAATTATAAAAATTGTATTTTCAATTTCTAATTACTTCCTGAAAATAGTTAATGCTATATTTCACAGGTCTTCTGGTTTATGTTTTGATAAATTTCCAAACTTAGTCACTGGGTCATTATTATCAAAATATCATACTTATACATGATTTAATACGATATTTACTTATCATTGAATCAAATTTATTACGAAACTACAAAAATAATAACTAAAAATTTAATATTTTTAAAATAAAATATAATAACTATTCACAATTCACAAACCATGATAAATCAAAACCAATTAAAATACTTAAACAATRTAAAATACCGAATGATTTTCTCCAAACTACCGTCGGGGTAGGATAACCTTCTGCTTGACAATGTAACATGCACGGATGACCCATAACCACATTTGTATCTTCAGGTTCAACCGTCCATTTTGGAGGAACTAAATCCATTAACAACTTATATTATAAAAAAATATTAAATGCAATTTCTATTTATGTTTCTCACCGTTTACTGTTAGTGGTACCGTATATTTTTCTTCGCCTGCTGAATTTGTTGCTATACACGTATARTTTCCCGCATGTTCAGCAGTGATACGCTCTATAATTAATGATGACGAATACTCATCATGATTTCTTGTAGCTGTTCCAACTCCTAAGCCATTGCTTACGCCATAACTGTCTTTTGTCCAAGTAAACATTACAGGAAGATCACCTTCTACAATCTGACATGAAATTGCTGCACGCATACCTTCAGCTAAAAGGTTTGTCATAGGAGGAATTGGTAAAATTTTTGGTCGAACTAAAAATTTAATCATCAGAATARTGAGTTTATATAAAATTAACTATTTAATATTATAAATACTTAAGACTTGAATTTCCACATCTCTCCTAGAAGAATGGCCGTGATGATTTTTTGCTTGACAAGTATAAGTACCAGCATCTGTTTGCCGTTGAACTTGTTCTATTGTTAGAGTCCCATTATTGTAGACTTTTTGACGAAGATTAACTGGCAATGTTAATCCATCTAAAAATAAGTGTTAAAGTAAAAATATGAATTGCCAATTTCAAAATATATACCTTACCTCGTTCCCAATTAATTGATTCAATCGGATAACCTGCTACAGGACACTTAACTATAAGTTGTTTTCCAGCCACAACATGGACACTAGGCATTTCCCTTACGAAGGGAACTCCATATACATTTATTCTAGAGGAATGTGAAACTTGTGCTATTTCATTATGTGCTGTACACGTATACTCTCCACCATCTTCGACTTTCAATGAAGATATGTTGACATGAGCGATAACATCATCATGTGCAGTCACGTACTGGCCCACCAAAATTCTATTCGATTCAGGTATAGGAAATCCATCTAAGGTCCAAGTAAACTGTGGAAGAGGATTTCCTGATGCAACACACTTTAATGATAAAGATGGCCCGGGTTGTAAAGTTTGCTCCGTAAACCAATATACAAGTTCAGGTCCAATATCTGTTGATTCGTGATTAAAAATAAATTCAACTTTACTAAATTGAATCTAATTTATTTTACTTACCTCCAAGAAGTAGTTGAGTGTTATCATGGGCCATATCCCAATCGTTGGTTCCAAAACATTGGTACATTCCTTGATCATCTTTATTCAAGGGAGATAACATCAATACTTGCTTATGAAGTGAAGATGTCACACGTACTCTACCATTTAGTTGCATTAAGGGTTGGCCATTCTTATACCACATAATTCTATTGATTGGATGGCCATTGACTGTACATACAAACTGGACAGATTTTGTAGGATCTAAGAGTGAAGAACCAGCTGCTTTTTGAGGCATTATATTTACTGAAAGGGGCTCTTAAATAGAAAAATTTAAATTGATTACCTAATTAAGTATAATCCATATAATAATTAAATTTAATCTACCAGTGACAAAAACACTATGATGAACTGTTTCTTCGCCCACGCTATTATTTGATATGCAAACATATTTTCCATCATCGTCTAAACGAATTTTTTCGATTTTGAGAAGTCCAGGAATGGGTACTGATAAACGTGGATCATGCACTAAGGCTTTAAGTACGTCTCCATTTTCCCTATACCATCTATAAGTTGGTATAGGAAATCCTTGGGATAAACAAGATAGTGTAAGGTCTTCTCCCACCTTAACTTGTTTTCTACTATCAGTTTCCACAACAACTCTTGGTCGTTGACTTCCAGTAGGGTCTAAAATTATTTTTTATAAGTACCAAAAAAATTCTTTAAATGTATWATGAAATTACCATTCACTGTGATATGTCCAGGAAAAGAACTAGCTTTGATTTCACCAGTCAACTTATGTACAGTTCTACATGTATAACTTTTAAATCCATCGCTAGAATCAACATTGTTAATGTATAAATCACCATTTCCTAGTACAAGATATTTTCCTCCAGAATCAACAYTAGGATAAAAGTGAATAATATCATCCTGTGTCCACGACGTTACCATTACGTAGCTAGAAGCATGTGCAGAAACATGACATCGTAATAATGCTGTATTTCCGATACTGACATACTCGGTATAAACCTGGACGTCATAGTCTTGATTCATGACTGAAAGTTAAGTTATTTTAATTAAAAAATACCATAGATACTATAAATATTGAAAGCTAGGTTAATTTCTAATTTAGGGCATTATAATACCATAATTTATAATAATAAATAACTTTAAAAATACATATATAATCATACCAGCATTAATATGAACAGCTCCGCTAATAATTTGACCAACTGCATTACTAGCTTTGCATCTGTATTGTGCACTATGTACATCATGCATGTAAGAACTTGGTCCAAAACGTAGAAATATCAAGCTACCATTTTGATGTACCACTCTGATTTTTGGTATTGTCATTACCCTCGTTCCATCCTCTAAGAATTTTATTTTTATTGTATAATTTATCATAATATTGATTGAATATGACACAATCATACCTAAGTACCATTGTACTTGTGGCGTAGGATTCCCAAATGCAGTACAATCGATTTTTACACCAGTATCGTTAGAAAACTGGACGTTGAAAGGTGGTACWAGACGAAATTCTGGTCCTATTAGTTCGTTATTTGCCAGACACGCTGTAAACACATTAATTTTTAAATAAATCGTATAGCTTGGATGTTAAAAGTAATAAAAATATTATAAATGTAAGATGCTAAATTGGTCTAAAATTTGTTGATGGATAAAACCATCTAGTGAATAGTGATTGATGATGTTTCTTAAATTGATTGTACTATGGCGGTGGACAAAAATAGTGGCTTAAGAATTGAAAAAGGATGTTAAGACGTTGCTGACATCACAAGGAAATTGACTGCGGGTAATTTCCTGTCGACAAAACTTCAACTGTGGAAATCCTACCGCAAAATATTGATTAATGTTTAAAGCAATTAAAGTTTAGGATATTCTAGTTATCCCGTTCAGTTTGGGTCTTATTAGTATGGAAATAATCAATTGTATGGATTATACTATGGCAGACTACTTACATGATAAAAGTATGATGAAGATATAGTAACTGACATGTAGGCACACAGTCTTCATTATCAATCCATTCTGAAATGTAAATACCTATTGTTAAAATACATAGTAATTGAAAAACATAATATTTTCATAATATAGCAAGCTACACAAGATTTTAACACACTCAACGTACATTACAGTTCATAATGTTATTGGGACTTAAATTGGATTGGAATCAAATCTCGATATTTATACGAGTWCATGGGTATATAATACGGTGTCTTACGAGGATTTACCTATTGCGATATCTCTCGAAATAATGGAGAAATTCTGGTTTTGTAATAATGCTTACTGGGATAATACATAAGAACTACAGTTATTTCATATTTTAATGTTTTGGTAAAAAAGTTAAAATATATATTTTTCTATTTAATTATTTCCGAAAAATTCACTATAGCTATTTTGTAGAGTTTATTTTTATGAAATATTTACGTTGCAATATTTTTTTTTCGTTAATTTTCTGATTTTTAATTTTTTTTTTAGTTTTGAGAAAAATTGCGAATTATTTAACACCGTAGTGTTTGATAATGATAAAATATGTGAAACGTCACGCCGCGCCGCGCGCGTGCTCGTACGACCGTACTGACCAGCCGAACGATTTCGGTATGCCTAGTTATAATCATATTTTATTTCTTGAAAACTAGAAAAATATTAAAAATCAGGAAATTAATGAAAGTAAAGTTTTGAAACGTCAATATTTTCAGAAAAATAAACTCTGCAAAATAGCTATTTTTAATTTTTTTTGAAAATAATTAAATTAAATTTTTTTTTATTTTTTCCAAAATATTAAAATAAATTAAAAATATAATAATTGTAATTCCTATTCCCTGTGAGTCTTATAACAAAACCAGAATTTTCATATCTCCATTATTTTGTGAGATATCACACTGTATATATGGTCCTAATCGTTTTATTGAGTAATTTTTTTCAAAAATACATTTTACTCGATAATAAAAATTAAATACAATTTTTTTGAGTGTGGGCTAACTATATTTCAGAATTTTTCAATTTTATGAATAGTATTGTAAAAAAGATATTATTTATTTATTTAAGTGCACAATCGGTTAAATACATTACTTTTGTTGAAAAACCCTTTAAAAAAAACTTTAAAGGATTGTATTAATTGTAAGTTGTAAGTTTCACTATAATATACGAAATATAATGTATTAGTTTCAGCTTACTATGCCTATTTTCTAATGACATATTTTTAGTAAGTAATAACAATGTGTTATTATAATTTCTATATAATTTACTCTTTTATATTCTCATACATCTGAATGGTATGTCTTGTAATTGGTAAACGTAATTAAATGATCTATATATTTATAAATAAGGTAAATAAGTTTTATTATTTAGATATTCATAATATATTGGACAGGCTTAAAATAATTATAAAATTTTTGGAAACAAAAATGTTAATATTTAAAGAAATATAAACAGAATACTTGAATAATATTTGCATATAATTTATACCAACTGTTTTTAATTGAGACTTTTAAGCTCCCACAGTTAAATAA